CAACCATCAAACAGATCTGCAAGGCAACGACGTCGTCACCTTCCCCATTTGTGAGTGGGACAAAGGGCCAGACTTCTTCCCGCCTATGGGAACAGTGGGTTTTTGGTACGTCCCATCTGTGGATCTTCCATTCGTCATGCTGGAGAAGGGGCCTTGTCTTACCTGAACGCCTTTTCTCAGCATGACGATGGAGAATCCACTTCCCCTCCCTCAAGGGTCCATCCGGTCCTGTGTCGGGGGAATTTGAGCCACCACCAGCTTGGGAAATCATCAACTGCTTCGCCTTCGTGGTGACGGGATTGTTAGCCGGAGGAAGAGAGGCGTGGCAAAAGGTTGATTGACGTAGTCTCTAGGACAGAAAGGCAAGATCAACCCATCCGTGGATTCTCCATCGTCATGCTGAGAAAAGGCGTTCAGGTAAGACGACGCCCCTTCTGATGATGGTTGCAAATGTTGGGGTGTATCCACGTAGAGCAGTCAGCCCTGGTGAGGTTCCCTAGCTGGGTCATGAAATGTCTGCAAGAAAACCACCAAGTTCAGAGAGTACCAAGGGCCCATCCTCTTCCTCCTCCTCTTCCTCCCCACGACTAACACAGCATCCCTGTGGTCCCGTGATCCCCTTTTATTACCTGGCATTCAATAATTAAAGTCAACGGGGAAAGCTTGCTTAACGACTACCTGATTCGCTTAACAACCCCAGTGATTCCCTTAAGCATGGCAAGAAAGGTCCTCGCTTAACAAGCTCTAGGAGTAACAATGGAAATTCTCGTCCCGGTTGTCATAAATCAAAGACTACCTGTGCTGGTTTGGTTGGGCTGGGTTTTTCCCCCCCATTCTGGACAGGGACTGTTTTAACACACCCCCCAAACTGCCCTCTGTCTTCCTGTAGCATTTTTGGCCGAGAGGACCCCGGTTCACGAAGTCGCCCGAAGAGGGGAGATCCATCAGCTCCAAAAACTGATCTGGAACAGTGCCTGCGTCAACCTGGTCATCTATGACTCGATCACGCCCCTGCACGAAGCCAGCCTGCGTGGCGAGACACGGTGTGTGGAGATCCTCCTGGCCGTGGGAGCCCAGGTGTGTGTGTGGGGGGTGCTGGGTTGCAGAAGGCTGCAGACTAAAACATCTGGGGAAAGAATGCCAGCAAAGGTTTATTTTGCACCAGCTTCCCCCAGGATTCAGGGTGCAGATTTCAGATTCCCCCCCCCCCCACACAGCCAGTTAGATGTGGATCCTCTTACGATAGAAGCCTAATCTCATTGCCTTCCTTTGAATGGTGTATTTTATTCTCCTGTGATTTTATTTCTGTTTTGGTTTACACTCTTTTCATTTCTTCCTCTTAGTGGTTGTAAGCTGCCTAGAGTAGTCCCACAGTGAGATAGGCCACAAATAAATTGATGACGATGATGATGATGATAAGGAAGAGAGAGAGAGAGAGAGAGAGAAAAGAAAAAGAAAAAGAAAGAAAGAAAGAAAGAAAGCTGGAAGGGAGCTTGGAGGTCATCTTGTCCAACCCCCTGCTCAGGCAGGAATCCTATACCATTTCAGACAAATGGCTGTCCAGTCTCTTCTTAAAAACTTGTACCAAGTGCGAATCCTTTTTTAAAATGTCCGAATCCCAGGTAGATTAACCAAAAGAGGCACCAGTCTAAGGGTTTGATCCCTTTCTGCCACAGGTGGATGCCCGGAACATCGATGGGAGCACCCCGCTCTGCGACGCCTGCACCTCAGGGAGCATTGGCTGTGTAAAATTCCTCCTGTCCCACAGAGCCAAGGTCCCTTGTATATAACGTCGCCTCTCCACGAAGCCTGCTTAAACGGTACGGTGGCTTCTGCAGGGTTGACAGAGATCCTGGGGACAGCCCTGGGGGGGGGGCGGTTTTTGCTCGCCCAGAATCTAACCGAAGAGCTGTCGAGCATTCTGGATTCCATTCGAATCGCGGTTCCCTGCCTGTAGCCCACATTTGCCTTCCTGCGCCACCAGGTCTGGCCCAGTGAGATGCAGAAGTTAGGGATCTGTGGATTTGTTTGTTTACGGTGGAAGACCAAGTCACAAAAATTTAAAATACAGCACGCCGTTAATACATACTAATGTGCCTACATCTAGATCTCTCTGTCTGTCTGTCTGTCTCCCTTTCAATCTGTCTATTCATCCATCCCTCCATCCACTATCCATCCATCCATTCTGTCTATCTGTCTTTGTTTATTTATCTACCTATCCCTACATACATATATCTGTGTATTCCTCCATTGTCTTGTTTATCTCTCTGTCATCTATCGATCTACCTAGTCTGTTTGCCTGAATGTCTGTCTGTCACGTCTCTGTCTATCGTCTGTCTATCTTTTTGCCTGCCTGCCTTCCTGCCTGAATATCTTTCTATCCCGTATCTCTGTCTATCACCTGCCAGCCTGCCTATGTATGTATCTAGCTAGCTAGCCATCATATATCTGTCTATCATCTATCATCCATCCATCCATCATCGATCTATCTATCCACTGCCCATGCCTGCCTGCCTGCCTGCCCCCCCCTATCTACTCTAAACAGCTAATCCTCCCTTAATGACTACCCCTCAATGACTACCCCTGCCGCTTTAGAAGATGGTGTGTATTTGCTATTGAATGTCCTTTTTCTTTCCCCAGCGCTCCAGGAACTCCCCTGCGACTCTCTCAGCTTTGTCGTCTCAGCATCCGTCAAGCTTTCGGCCGAACAGCACTGGAAAAGATTCCCCCACCTCCACATCCCTACGAAATTAGTTGAATTCCTCTCCTACAGCCAGTGAGCTGCCCTCGGCCCCATCTAACGACCCCCCCCCCATCATCAGTTCGGCTTGCGCTCTTCGGAAAAACATGCAACTTTTTTCTCGAACTACTGTATATAGAAATTTTAAAACCGTGGCTGGAAGCGGATTACCTGGTGGTCTCCTTGCCGGCTCGGCGGTTCCTTTGAGTGTGTTGATGAAAGGCTTGAACACCCACTGGTATGTGTGGTTGATCACCTCTACGTTGGAGAGATGGAGTGATAACTTACCGAAGCCTGATGGGCTCGCCCCATTTTGCGTCTTGGTCTCGATGTACTCCTTGGCTTACGACTGCCACTGAGTACAAAACCTCTCTCGCTAAGCGAGACCGTTAAGTGGATCTTGCCCCATTTTACGCCTGCCCTTGCCACCGTTGTTAAATGAATCGCTGCGGTGGTTAAGTTAGTGGCACTGTTAAGGGGATCTAGCTTCCTCATTGACTTTATTGGTCAGAAGGTCGCAAAAGGGGATCACATGACCCACGGGGATCCTGCGCCCGTCGTAAAGATGAATCGGTTGACAAGTATCCGAATTTTGATCCCGTGACTGGAGAGGCTACAACAGTCGCAAGTGTGAAAAACGGCATTTTTCAGTGGCGTTTGTAACTTTGAATAGTTAGTCAACTGTATTAACACATGGGAGTTGTAATCCACCCATTTAAAAATATTCCCAATATTTTATTTGTAAAATGTATGCATTTGTTTGTGAAGTTATGTATGGGTAATATTTATTTGTAAAATGATCTAACTCACAAATTTTGCAAATTAATCAATTTTGCCAATGAATAAATTTCACAAATGCAGGCCTCTTACATAAATCAATGTTGCCAATAAATAAAAATGCATTGCACAAAGAAATAACTATTACCAATAAACACATAACATACAGACAAATCAAAGCCCACCAGCACCCATAACGGGTCAGGCCATGTGTGAACCCCCTGAAAAAAGGGAGAAGCCTAAGAGCAAAAGTTTGGGGTGAGGGGGGGCGTCAGGAAGCAACCCCTCCCTCCAGCCGATTGTGATGCCATGAATTCAAGCACCAAGCTGCAATGTCCTGGGTGTCAAGAAAGGGTCGTGGAGACGGAACTCTCGCAGCAAAGGTTGCAAAGGAGGAGAAAACAAATGCAAGCATCAGAACCGCTCACGGGTTAGATAGGCCGGAGAACTACAACTCCCGGCAGCCCTTGCGAGAAGCGCCTGGGGGTGTCCCGGGATTCCTGACTGCCTGGCCTCCTGGGACGTGTAGTCCGTGTTTACGGACTCCTTGAGCCGGTGACCGCCGGTGGCTCTTTGCTGAGCGACATCGGTGAGTGTGGGGAGGGGGCGTCCATCCCCCCGCAGGAATCGCTTCCGGTCCTGGGACTCAGCCTTTTCATGTTGCTAGACCTGAGTGGGGCTTTGGATCTTCGAAAATCCCAGTGCAACTTTGCACTTGCTCTATTACTGCGCAAATTTAAAGGGTGAATGGGAGAAAAGCGTACAGACGCCTTCTCCGCCCTTGACCCGGTACTCAGGCTGGGTTTCCACAACCGACTAGTCCTCGTTATTAACTAACCCTTTGGGAGGGGGTCCCCAGAGGGATTGCGATCCATAGTTCGCCAGCTGGGCTGGGTTTAACGCCCCACCCCCGCAAAAGCAAAGTCCACAAACTAAAATTCCCGCTCCCAAGTTTAGCGTGTTGTGTGAACGCTTGGATTGACGCGTGTCGGCCAGGGCCGCACCGTGGTTTGTCCTGGAAAGGGCCTCGCGGGTTACGCGGTGCGGTTCTTGGAGAGCTGAGCCAGGAATGCGGCTTGCGAGCCAGGGAAGTCCCCGGCCGGCTTGGCAGGATCCGCGCCCGGGAATCTGCACACTCGGCTTCGCTTTCCCAGGTCGATCCGCGTTGCCAAGAAAAAGGAAGACGGCTGTCGCTTCCTCGGAGTCAACGGGAGGGACCCTGGCCCCTTTTGGGGAGGGGTCTGAATCACGCGGGGGTGGGAAGAGGGAAGCGGAGGGTCTTTGCCAAGGTAAGAGACCCCCCTGGAAGTCTTGCCCCAAGCTCCCGGCAATGGGGGGAGCCTAAGTCAGGGGCAGGCAAGCTGGGCTCTTTTATGACTCATGGACTTCAACTCCCAGAATTCCTCAGCCAACATGGCTCAGCTTGGAAACCTCTCCCTTTCCCCTCAGTCGGCTGGCTTAGGAATTCTGGGAGTTGAAGTCCACCAGTCATAAAAGAGCTTTAAATCAATCAACCTTTGCCACGCCCTCTTCCTCCGTCTAGGACTCCGCACTCGCGGCTTAGTCTTAGCCCGGGAGAGACGTGGTGAGGATTGGCTCTGGTTTCTAGCAGAACGACAAAACTCTGGATTTTCCCAGGTTGTACCCTTCTCTTCCCTTCCCTTCTCTGCCTCAGCGCTGCTTTCTCAAACCGCCGAGGGTCGGAGCGGTTTTGCAGGCCTCGGCTGAAGCCTCTCGAGCTATTTATAGCTCCCAGGCAGAGGCAGAAGCGCAGCGGTCGCCATTTTGAGCGCCGCTTTGCTTGCTCCTGAGGGGAGTGGGGGAACCTTCCCTTCCTTCCAGCGAGGGCCGTTTAGACTCAACTGGAGTCAATTTTGGCCAGAACTGAGTCTGCAGTCTTCTTAGTCAGCAGATAGAAGCAGCTGCCGCATTCATTAACTCGGACATAACGACGGAGCAGGAGGCCGCTTGCTGGCGGCCGCCATTTTGAGAGCCCGACAAACGCCCTCAGGCCATTCCAGAAGGCCAGAGTTCAGGAGCGGTTTTTGGAAGGTGCTGCTTCTCCCATCGTTGGCAGCTCGCCGCACACCAAGACTGTTACAATTACAGGCAACAACAGCCTCCTTCAGGACGCAATTTCCAAAGACTTCAGTTGGTGGCTGAGTGCGTGCTTTAACTGCCGCCATTTTCAGCGCTTCCTACCATCGATTTCGCTGCTTATAAGTGTGCTGGCTACCCTCATTAAGTTGGTCTTGTGGCCACTACCAAGCTTGTGAGTTTGCTGGCTACCCCACTAAGGTGGTCTTGCTGCCACTACCAGGCTTGTAATTGTGCTGACTACCCCACTAAGGTGGTCTTGCTGCCACCACTTCTAGCCATCACTTGGCTCCTGGCTACTGGGACCATCTCTTTTGCAAACACGTTGAGATTGCCGTTTCTGTGATATCTCTGATTTTGGTAATGGCAGGTAAAACCACAGCAACTCAGGGCTCTCAAGGTGCCTCCAGCTTTCCCTCCAGGCTGAGGAACGCCAGATCAGCCAAGCAGGAGGCTGCTGGGAAACTCAGAGCCAGAGCTATCGCTGGCAGAAGGTCTCCCAAAGCTGCTGGGAAAGAAGCAAGCGGGAGGCAACAGGCATTGGGAAAACAATTCTCCAATGCTGCAGGGCAACAGAACGGGGTAAAGGTTGATGAGATGACTTCTGTTCCCACGGAAGCCTCGGTTTTTGACCCTCAACAGGCTCCTTCGACCTCTGCTGCTCCAAGTGCCGGTTCTCCAGAAGGGGAAACAGGTCAGTCCATTTCTCCCATGGCAGAAAAGGTGGAGATGGTTCCCTCTTCCAGTGAGGGGCTTGGCCTTCAGATCCCTGCTCCTCCAGGTAAAGCTGGACCTCTGGGCCCAGAGGCCACATTCACTCCTACAGCGGCAGGGCTTCGCCCTCCAGAGGCTCAAGAGATAGCACTATCAGAACAAATGCAGCTTCTGATTTCTCAGGCTGTTGCCCAAGTTGTAGCTTCGACCCTACACCAGAGAGCTCGACCTGAGTCGACAGCATCAGAGGTCCCATCTCACAGCAATGCATCCTACCTCTCCCAGGCGGAAGCAGACACATACCAGGGGCCAGTTTCCCAATTTAATTCCTCCATGAGTAGAACGTCGTTCACAGGGGACGAAGAACAGAGAGAGCTGGGGCTGTCAGAAGATGAGGACTTACCTCCTGATCCCCCTGCTTTCACAGGCTTGTTTAATCCGGACCTCTTTAAATCCTTGCTTCAGAAGGCCACGAGCACTGCTCAACTTGGTCCTGAAGGTGTCCCCGAGGCTGAACCTTCCACCAGTCAGGGACCTACTGGCTGTTCAGAGGCAACGTTTACCCAACAGGACATTCCCTGTCCTTCCTTTTTCCTCAGTGAAGTCCAAAAACAATGGGGAACGCCAGGTAATTTTTCAGTTCCGGGGAAGACGATTAAAAATTTATTTAATGTGGCTCCAGCACTGTCAGATGTGCTAGCAGTCCCCATGGTAGATGAGCCCTTAGCAACAACATTTGTTCCCAACTTCACTAGTTCTGGAGATATAGCAGATTTTCTGACGTTAGAGGATAAGAGAGCGGAGTATAACTTCCGCAAAACCCACCAAGCCTCAGCATGGGCGGTAAAGGCAGCTATATCAATTTCCTTTTTCGCCAGAATTTCAGTCCTCTGGCTTCGCCAATTACAGGCTAAGGTACCACCAGAAGAGGTATGGATGCACCAAGATTTAAACAAATTAGTGGCAGCATCAGAATACATGGCTGACTCATCCTTGCAGGCGGCCAGATTTTCCTCCCGTGCATTAGCATCTAATGTTAGCTCTCGCAGACTTCTGTGGCTCAGACAGTGGAAAGCGGATGTTAAGTCCAAGTGGCGGTTGGCCTCATCCCCTTACAGGGGAGGCCAGTTATTTGGAGAGGCACTAACCCCTTATCTGACTGAGAAGGATAAGCGTAAGGTCATGTCCAGTCTTACTAGGAGAGCAGACACGAGAGCTACCCCTTATGCCCACAAGCAGTTCTTTCGCCCAACCAACACGGGGTCGGAATTCAACCATTACTCCCGTCCTCATCCTCCCAGCTCAACCAACACAGGGTCGGAATTCACCCATTACTCCCCTCCTCATCCTCCCAGACCAGAACCTCAATTTGACAGATCTGGTAACAGAGGCAGACCCAGACAGCAATTTCAGGCCAAGCAGCCCTTTCGAGGTGCCAGAGGCCATCCTTTCAGAAGGTCCTAGTGACACCATAGATGCCTCTCCCATAGGGAGCAGATTGGCTCTCTTTGCACACAAATGGGAGAACACCAATACAGATCTCTGGGTCCTCCACACCATCAGATTCGGCCTGACTCTAGAATTCAACTCCATCCCCCCGAGGCATTTCGTCTCTTGCCCATCATCCAAAAATCCGGTCAAAAGAAGCCTCATGAAAGTGGCCATACAACATCTGGAGATCTAGGCCATAGAACCAGTACTGGCAGGGCAAAAGGAATTATTCCATTCTGTCCATCATTCGGAAGGCCTCGGGAGGGTGGAGGGCAATCCTGGATTTAAAGAAATTAAATATCCATTTGGCACACAAGAAGTTCAAGATGCAAACGCTCCAATCCATATTAGCAGGCATCAGAAGGGGGGACTTCCTGATGTCCATCAACCTGACGAAAGCCAACCTACACATTCCCATCTTTCTTGGACACCGGAAATTCCTCAGGTTCTGCTATGCAGGCCACCATTTTGAGTACAGAGCTCTACCATTCAGCCTGTCACCGGCCTCCAGAAAATCCAGATCATTCGCTCCACCCACCACTTTCATCTGGGCACGGTGATAGATTCAAGGAAGTGCAAGGTTTACCTGTCAAAGTTACGTCGCGACAGTATCCAATTTCTCCTCTCTGCAGTACCCCAAGATAGTATCTCCCTCAGCCAGGGGGTTCTACAACACCGCCGGGCATTTGAAAGACTCCTAACAAAAGAGACTTACTCATCAGACATGATGACCATGATCCAGGCTTCAAGAATGCCTGCAACTAATAGGATCTATGATTCCACATGAAAGAATTTCTGTAACTGGTATGGGAGACAACAATTAGATCCAGCTACAATTCCTATTCCAAGAATTTTGGATTATTTACCGGAGGGCCTTAAGAGGGGTTTAGCACTCACACAATCTGCAGACTAGTTGCTGCCCTGTCCACGGTGCTCACATATGGCAGCTCAGAGCCCTTGGCTCAACACCCTGTGATACGTTCCTCTTTCAGGGGAGCAATCAACAGCAAACCGCCCGTGGTTCACAGATACCCGTCTTGGGACCTGTCCAAGGGCTTACAGGCTCTCACTTCACCTCCATTTGAGCTCGTCAGAACCTCCACTCTACGATTCTGGACATTCAAGGCCGCCTTCCTAGTAGCTGTTACATCGGCTAGGAGCATCTCGAAATTCGCAGCGCTCCCCACTAGAGATGACTTACGTATTTTTCTACGCGTAGACCCCTCCTTCGTCCCAAATAACAACTCATTGCCTCACAGGGCGCAAGAGCTTGTGCTGCCAGATTTTTGTCCTGAGCCGTCCCATGAATTGGAACGTAAATGGCACATGTTGGAGGTTCACAGAGCGTCATGTTGCTATATTAAGCAAACTGCCCCTTTTCGTAACTCTGAAGCCCTCTTTGTTTCATTCCACCCCTCTTTAAGGGGTCAGAAGGCGACCGCCTCTACTATCGGCAGATGGATTAGGGCTTGCATGGCAGGGGCGTCCCAGACGCACTGCTTGCCAGTTCCAAGACGGCACATTGCACACTCCACTCGTAGTGTGGCAACTTCAGCAGTGTGGGGAACACAGGCGTCAGTCGAAGAGATCTGCAAGGCAGTGACTTGGTCGTCCCCTTCCCCATTTGCAAGGCATTATAAGTTAGATACGTTCCCTCAGCAGAGGCTTTATTTGGCAGGAGACTCCTCCAAAGGGTAGTAAGAGGTAGTGGGACACAGGCTCAGACTTCTTCCCGCCCGTGGGAACAGTGAGGCTTTGATATGTCCCATCTGGATCCTCCATTCGTCGTGCTGGAGAAGGGGCCTTGTCTTACTTGAACGCCTTTTCTCAGCATGACGATGGAGAATCCACTCCCCCCCCCCCCAAGGGTCCATCCAGTCCTGTGTCAGAGGAATTTGAGCCACCACCAGCTTGGAAAATCATCAACTGCTGCACCTTCGTGGTGACTGGGGATTCCTAGCTGGAGGAAGAGAGGCCTAGCAAAGGTTGATTGACGTAGTCTCTAAGGCAGAAAGGCAAGATCAACCCATCCGTGGATTCTCCATCGTCATGCTGAGAAAAGGCGTTCAGGTAAGACGACGCCCCTTCTGATGATGGTTGCAAATGTGGGTTGTATCCACATAGAGCAGTCAGCCCTGGTGAGGTTCCCTAGTTGGGTCATGAAATGTCTGCAAGAAATAGCCAAGATTAGAGAGCAGCAATGACCCGTCAGTCCTTCTCGTCCTCCTCTCCACAAACCCCACTCCCTCCCAGCACTGATGATGTTACCTACTTGGGTCATGAAACATCTGCGAGAAAACCACCCAGCTCAGAGAGCACAAAGGACTCCACAATCCTCCTCCTCCTCCCCTCCCCACGACTAACACAGCATCCCTGTGGTCCCGTGATCCCCTTTTATTAACTGGCATTCAATAATTAAAAGTGAACGGGGAAAGTTTGCTTAACGACTGCCTGATTCGCTTAACAACCCCAGTGATTCCCTTAACAAGCATGGCAAGAAAGGTCCTCGCTTAACAACCTCTAGGATTAACAATGGAAATTCTGGTCCCGGTTGTCATAAATCGAGGACTACCTATCCTGGTTTAGTTGGGCTGGGTTTTTTTCCCCCCCATTCTGGACAGGGACTGTTTCAATACCCCATCCGCCCTCCGTCTTCCTGGAGCATTTTGGGCCGAGAGGACCCCGGTTCACGAAGCCGCCCAAAGCGGGGAGATCCATCAGCTCTAAGAACTGATTCGGAACGGCGCCCGCATCAACCTAGTCACCTATGTCTCAGTTATGCCCCTGCAGGAAGCCAGCCTGCGTGGCCAGATGCGGTGTGTAGATATCCTCCTGGCCGTGGGAGCCCAGGTGTGAGGCGAGGGCACCGGGTTGCAGAAGGAAAGAATGCCAGCAAAGGTTTATTTTGCACCAGGTTCTCAGGGATTCTGGGTGCAGATTTCAGATCCCCCCCCCCCCGGATGGCCAGTTAAATGTCGATCCTCCTACGATAGAAGAAGCCTAATCTCATTGCCTTCGTTTACATGGTGTATTTTATTCTTCTGTCATTTTATTTCTATTTTGGTTTACACTCTTCATTTTTTCCTCTTTGTGGTTGTAAGCTGCCTAGAGTAGTCCCATAGTGAGATAGGCCACAAATAAATTGATGATGATGATGATAAGAAAGAAAGAAAAGGAAAGAAAGAAAGAGAAAGTAAAGAAAAGAAAAAAAGAAAGGGAAAGAAAGAAAGAAAGAAAGAAAGAAAGAAAGAAAGAAAGAAAGAAAGAAAAAAAGAAAGCAAGCTGGAAGGGAGCTTGGAGATCATTTTGTCCAACCCCTTGCTCAGGCAGGAATCCTATACCATTTCAGACAAATGGCTGTCCAGTCTCTTCTTAAAAACCTTTACCAAGGGCGAATCCTTTTTAAAATGGCCGAATCCCAGGTAGATTAACCAAAAGAGGCACCAGTCTAAGGGTTTGATCCCTTTCTGCCACAGGTGGATGCCCGGAACATCAATGGGAGCACCCCGCTCTGCCATGCCTGCGCCTCAGGGATCATTGACTGTGCAAAATTCCTACTGTCCCACGGAGCCAAGGTCCCTTGTACATAACGTCACCTCTCCACGAAGCCTGCTTAAACGGTAAGGTGGCTTCTGCAGGGTTGATGGAGATCCTGGGGCCAGCCCAGAATCCAAGCAAAGAGCTGTCGAGCATTCCAGATTCCATTCGGATCGCATTTCCCTGCCTGCAGCCCACATTTGCCTTCCTGCGCCACCAGGTCTGGCCCAATGAGATGCAAGAGTTAGGGATCTGTGGATTTGTTTGTTTATGGTGCAAGACCGAGTCACAGAAATTTAAAATATAGCACACCATTAATACATACTAATCTGGCTATGTCTAGATCTCTGTCTGTCTCCCTTTCAGTCTGTCTATTCATCCATCCCTCTATCCACTCTATCCAGCCATCCATCCATTCTGTCTACCTGTCTTTGTCTATTTACCTACATATCCCTACATACATACATATACATATATACATATATCTGTGTATTCATCCATTGTCTATGTCTCTCTGCCATCTATCAATCTACCTAGTCTCTCTGCCTGAATGTCTATCATGTCTCTATCGCCTGTCTGTCTGCCTGCCATCTCATCCATCCACCCATTCATCCATCCATCCATCTATCCTAAACAGCTAATGCTCCCTTAATGACTACCCCTCAATGACTACCCCTGCCGCTTTAGAAGATAGTGTGTATTTGCCATTGAATGTCCTTTTTCTTTCCCCCAACCCTCCAGGAACTCCCCTGCGACTCTCAGCTTTGTCGTCTCAGACTCCGTCAAGCTCTCGGCCGAACAGCGCTGGAAAAGATCCCCCACCTCCACATCCCTATGAAATTAGTTGAATTCCTCTCCTACAGCCAGTGAGCTGCCCGCGGCCCCCGTCTAAAGACCCCCCCAATCACCCTGCAAAGTTCGGCTTGCGCTCTTCTGAAGCCACCCTCATTTTCAACAATGCGCGACTTTTTCCTCGAACGACTGTAAATAGAAATTTTAAAACCGTGGCTGGAAGCGGATTACCTGGTGGTCTCCTTGTCGGCTTGGCGGTTCCTTTGAGTGTGTTGGTGAAAGGCTTTAGCACCCACTGGTATGTGGGTGCTCTACATTGAAGAGATGGAGCGATAACTTACTGAAGCCTGATGGGCTCACCCTGTTTTGCGTCTTGTCTACACGTACTCCTCGGCTTACGACCGCCACTGCGCACAAAACCTCTCGCTAAGCGAGACCGTTAAGTAGATCTCGCCCCATTTTATGCCCACCCTTGCCACCGAATTTAAATGAATTGCTGCGGTGGTTAAGTTAGTGGCACCTTTGTTAAGGGGATCCTACGACCGTTGTAAAGAGGAATCGGTTGACAAGCATATGAATTTTGATCCTGTGACTATGGAGAGGCTACAACGGTCGCAAGTGTGAAAAACGGCATTTTTCAGTGGCGTTTGTAACTTTGAATAGTTGTTAGTCAAGGACTCCCTGTATTAACACACAGGAGTTGTAATCCACCCATTTTAAAATATTCCCAAAATGGTTTTATTTGTAGAATGTATGCATTGGTGAAATTTAATTATTTTCAAAATGTATGTTTGGGGAATATTTGTAAAATGGTCTAAGTCATAGATTTTACAAATGAATCTTTCAATTTTGCCAATAAATAAATTTCACAAAGATCTACAAGTATCTTCCCAATGAATAAATCAATGTTGCCAATAAATAAAAATGAATTTGTACAAAGAAATAAATATTACCAATAAATACATGCTCTACAGACAAATCAAAGCCCACCAGCACCCATTACGGGTCAGGCCATGTGTGAACCCCCTGAGAAAAGGCAGAAGCCTAAGAAAGCCAAAGGCAAATTTTTGGGTGCCTGGTTGGGATGCTCAGGGTCACCTGTGATGTATTTCAGGGTTTGGGGTGACCAGGGTTTGGCGTCAGGAAGTAACCTTCCAGCCAACTGGAATGCCATGAATTCCAGCACCAAGCTGCAACACCCCTTTGTAAAGAAAGGCTCGTGGGAACGGAACCCTCGCAGCGAAGGTTGCAAAGGACGGGAAAACATCTGCAAGCATCAGCATCAGAGCCACCCATCTGGAAGCTAGGTCGGAGAACTACGAGTCCCGGCAGCCCTTGCGAGCAGCGCTTGGGCTGTCCCCGGATTCCCGACTGCCTGGCCTTCTGGGTTGTGTAGTCCGTGTTTACGGACTCATGGAGCCGGTGGCTCTTTGCTGGGAGAGATCGGTAAGTGGGTGGCTTGCGAGGCAGGGAGGTCCCCGGTCGACTTGGCAGGATCCGCGCCCGGGAATCTGCACACTCGGCTTCGCTTTCCCAGGTCGATCCGCGTTGCCAAGAAAAAGGAAGACGGCTGTCGCTTCCTCGGAGTCAACGGGAGGGACCCTGGCCCCTTTTGGGGAGGGGTCTGAATCACGCGGGGGCTGCAAAGGGGACGCTGTGGTGGGAAGAGGGAAACGGAGGGTCTTTGCCAAGGTAAGAGAGCCCCCTGGAAGTCTTGCCCCAAGCTCCCGGCAATGGGGGGAGCCTAAGTCAGGGGCAGGCAAGCTGGGCTCTCTTATGACTCGTGGACTTCAACTCCCAGAATTCCTCAGCCAGTCTGGCTCAGCTTGGAAACCTCTCCCTTTCCCCTCAGCACGGCTGGCTGAGGAATTCTGGGAGTTGAAGTCCGCCAATCATAAAAGAGCTTTAAATCAATCAACCTTTGCCACGCCCCTCTTCCTCCGTCTAGGATTCCGCACTCGCGGCTTAGTCTTAGCCTGGGAGAGACGTAGTGAGGATTGGCTCTGGTTTCTAGCAGAACGACAAAACTCTGGATTTCCCCAGGTTGTACCCTTCCCTTCCCTTCTCTGCCTCAGCGCTGCTTTCTCAAACCGCCGAGGGTCAGAGCCTGTTTTGCAGGCCTCGGCTAAGCCTCTCGAGCTATTTATAGCTCCCAGGCAGAGGCAGAAGCGCAGCGGTCGCCATTTTGAGCGCCGCTTTGATTGCTCCTGAGGGGAGTGGGGGAACCTTCCCTTCCTTCCAGCGAGGGCCGTTTAGACTCAACTAGAGTCAGTTTTAGCCAGAATTGAGTCTGCAGTCTTCTTAGTCAGCAAATAGAAGCAGCTGCCGCATTCATTAACTCGGACATAACGACGGAGCAGGAGGCCGCTTGCTGGCGGCCGCCATTTTGAGAGCCCGACAAACGCCCTCAGGCCATTCCAGAAGGCCAGAGTTCAGGAGCGGTTTTTGGAAGGTGCTGCTTCTCCCATCTTTGGCAGCTCGCCGCACACCAAGGCTGTTACAATTACAGGCAACTACAGCCTCCTTCAGGACACAATTTCCAAAGACTTCAGTTGGTGGCTGAGTGCCTGCTTTAACTGCCGCCATTTTCAGCGCCTCTTCCTACCACCGATTTCGCTGCTTATAAGTGTGTTGGCTACCCTCATTAAATTGGTGTTACTGCCACTACCAGGCTTATAATTGTGCTGGCTACCCCACTAGGGTGGTGGTGCTGCCACTACCAGGCTTGGAAGTGTGCTGGCTGCCCCATTAAGTTGGTTGGGCCACCACCACTTCTTGCTACTGGGACCATCTCTCTTTTGCAAACAAGTTGAGATTGCCGTTTCTGTGATATCTCTTGATTTTTCGCAATGGCAGGTAAAACCACAGCAACTCAAGGCTCTCAAGGTGCTTCCAGCTTTCCCTACAGGCCGAGGAACTCCAGATCAGCGAAGCAGGAGGCTGCTGGGAAACTCAGAGCCAGAGCTATTGCTGGCAGAAGGTCTCCCAAAGCTGCTGGGAAGGAAGCAAGCGGGAGGCAACAGGCATTGGGAAAACAATTCTCCAATGTTGCAGGGCAACAGAAGGAGGCAAAGGTTGGTCAGATGACTTCTGTTCCCACAGAAGCCTCGGTTTTTGACCCTCAACAAGCACCTTCGACCTCTGCTGCTCCAAATACCTGCTCTACAGAAGAGGAAACAGGTCAGTCTGTTTCTCCCATTGCAGAACAGGTGGAGATGGTTGACCCTCAACAAGCTCCTTCGAACTCAGGTCAGTCCATTTCTCCCATGGCAGAACAGGTGGAGATGGTTCCCCCTTCCAGTGAGGGGCTTGGCCTTCCGATCCCTGCTCCTCCGAGTACAGCTGGACCTCTGCGCCCAGAGGCCACATTCACTCCTACAGCATCAGGGCTTCGTGCTCCAGAGGCTCAGGAGATAGCACTAACACAACAAATGCAGCTTTTCATTTCTCAGGCTGTTGCCCAAGCTTTAGCTTCGAACCTGCACCAGAGAGCTCGACCTGAGTCGACAGCATCAGAGGTCCCATCTCACAGCAATGCATCGTACCTCTCCCAGTCGGAAGCAGACACATATCAGGGGCCAGTTTCCCCATTCAATTCCTCCATGAGTAGAACGTCGTTCACAGGGGACGACGAACAGAGAGAGCTGGGGCTGTCAGAAGATGAGGACTTACCTCCTGATCCTCCTGCTTTCACAGGCCTGTTTAATCCGGCCCTCTTTAAATCCTTGCTTCACAAGGCCAGGAGCACTGCTCAACTTGGTCCTGAAGGTGTCCCTGAGGCTGAACCTTCCACCAGTCAGGGACCTACCAGTATGATCTGTTCAGACCCAACGTTTACCCAACAGGACATTCCCTGTCCTCCCCTTTTCATCAGTGAAGTCCAAAGACAATGGGGAGCGCCAGGTAAGGTGCCACTTCTGGAGAAGAATGTTATTAATTTATTTAATGTGGCTCCAGCACTGTCAGATGTGCTAGCAGTCCCCACGGTAGATGAGCCCATAGCAACAATATTTGATCCCAGCTTCATTTTGTCTGGGGATATAGTGGAGGTTCTGACACCAGAGGATAGGAAAGCGGAGCTTAATTTCCGCAAGACCCACCAAGCCTCAGCATGGGCGGTAAAGGCAGCTATATCAACTTCCTTTTTCGCCAGAATTTCTGTCCTCTGGCTTCGTCAATTACAGACTAAGATACCACCAGAAGAGGTACGGATGCACCAAGATTTAAACAAATTAGTGGCTGCATCAGAATACATGGCTGACTCATCCTTGCAGGTGGCCAGATTTTCCTCCCGGGCATTAGCAACTAGTGTTACCTCTCGCAGACTTCTGTGGCTCAGACGGTGGCCAACGGATTTTCAGTCCAAGTGGCGGTTGGCCTCAGCCCCTTACAGGGGAGGCCAGTTATTTGGAGAGGCACTAAACCCTTATCTGACTGAGAAGGGTAAGCGTAAGGTCATGTCCAAACTTCCTAGGAGAGCAGACAGGAAAGCAGCTCCTTATGCCCACAAGCAGTTCTTTCGTCCAACCAACACAGGGTCGGAATTCACCCATTACTCCCGTCCTCATCCTCCCAGCTCAAGCGACACAAGGTCAGAATTCACCCATTACTCCCCTCCTCATCCTCCTAGACCAGAACCTCAATTCGACAGATCTGGTTACAGGGGCAGACCCAGAGAGCAATTTCAGGCCAAACGGCCCTTTCGAGGCGCCAGAGGCCGTCCTTTCAGAAGATCCTAGTGACACCAGAGGTGCCTCTCCCATAGGGAGCAGATTGGCTCTCTTTACACACAAATGGGAGAACACCACTACAGATCTTTGGGTCCTCCACACCATCAAATTCAGCTTGACTCTAGAGTTCAATTCCACGCCCCTCCCGAGGCATTTCGTCTCTTGCCCATCATCCAAAAATCCGGTCAAAAGAAGCCTCATGAAAGTGGCCATTCAACATCTGGAGATCCAGGCCGTAGAACTGGTACTGGCAGGGCATACGGGATTGTTCCATTCTGCCCATTGTTCGGAAGGCTTCGGGAGGGTGGAGGGCAATCCTGGATTTAAAAAAATTAAATAACCATTTGGCACTCAAGATGCAAACGCTCCAATCCATATTAGCAGGCATCAGAATGGGGGACCGCCTGACATCCATCAACCTGACGGAGGCCTACCTACACATTCCCATCCTTCCTGGACACCGGAAATTCCTCGCGGTCTGCTATGCAGGCCATCATTTTGAATACAGAGCTCTACAATTCGGCTTGTCATCGTCCCCCAGAACATTCACGAAGGTCCTGGCGGCGCTTGGCCATGTATCTCAGGACCATTTTGGTGCATGTCCAGTGTTATTCCTCATTCAATCCTCAGTCCAGTTGGCTCAGTCAGAACTGTCATTGTCCATCAAGACCCTCCAGGACCATGGGTTTTCAGTACATTTTCAGAAAAGCCAGATAGATCCAGCCACCTTCACCTGGGCACGGTGATGGATACAAGGAAGTGCGAGGTTTACCTGCCTCAGGAACATCGGGGTAGTATCCGATCTCTCCTCCGTGGAGGATACCCCAAGATGAAATCTCCCTCAGCTAGGGGGTTCTGCAACACCCAGAGCCTCATTGGCTCCAGGTAACCGCCGGGCATTTGAAAGGAGACTCCCAACAAAAGAGAGCTACTCATCAGACGTGATTACCACTTCAGGCTTCAAGAAGGCCTGCAACTAATAGGATCTATGATTCCGCATGGAAGAATTTCTGTAACTGGTATGGGAGACAACAATTAGATCCAGCTACAATTCCTATTCCAAAAATTTTGGATTATTTACCGGAGGGACCTAAGGGGGTTTAGCACCCAACACAATCCGCAGATAAGTTGCTGCCCTGTTCACGGTGCTCAGATATGGCGACTCAGAGCTCTTGGCTCAACACCCCATGATACGTTCCTCTGTCAGGGGAGCAATCAACAGCAAACCGCCCCTGGTTCACAGATACCCCTCTTGGGACCTGTCCAAGGGCTTACAGGCTCTCACTTCACCTCCATTTGAGCTCGTCAGAACCTCCACTCTACGATTCTGGACACTCAAGGTCATCTTCCTAGTAGCCGTTACATCGGCTAGGCGCATCTCAGAATTGGCAGCACTCTCCATTAAAGATGACTTATGTATACCAACAGGATGCTCTTACGCGTAGACCCCTCCTTCATCCCCAAAATCAACTCATCGTTTCACAGGGCGCAGGAGCTTGTGCTGCCAGATTATTGCCCTGAGCCGTCCCACGATTTGGAATGTAAATGGCACACCTTGGATTTTCGCAGAGCCTTGCATCGGTATATTAAGGAAACTGCCCCTTTTTGCAGCTCTGAAGCCCTCTTTGTTCCAGGACAACTCACTGCACACTCCACTCGCAGTGTGGCAACTTCGGCGGCAGCGGCAACATAGGCGTCCATCAAAGAGATCTTGCAAGGCAGCTATGTGGTCGTCGCCTTCCTGATTTGCGAGGCATTATAAGTTAGATACATTTGCCTCAGCAGACGCTTCATTTGGCAGGAGACACCTCCAAAGGGTAGTAACAGAAAGTGGGACACAGGACCAGACTTCTTCCCGCCCGTGGGAACAGTGAGGCTTTGATATTGTCCCATCTGTGGATCCTCCATTCGTCATGCTGGAGAAGGGAGGTTGTCTTACCTGAACACTTTTTCTCAGCATGACGATGGAGAATCCACTCCCCCCCCCCCAAGGGTCCATCCGGTCCTGTGTCGGGAATTTGAGCCACCACCACCTTGGGAAATCATCAACTGCTACGCCTTTGTCGTGACGGGATTCTTAGCCGGAGGAAGAGAGGCGTGGCAAAGATTGATTGACATCTCTAGGGCAGAAAGGCAAGATCAACCCATCCGTGGATTCTCCATCGTCGTGCTAAGAAAAGGCGTTCAGGTAAGACGACGTCTCTTATGATGTTTGCAAATGTTGGGGTGTATCCACGTAGAGCAGTCAGCCCTGGTGAGGTTCCCTAGTTGGGTCATGAAATGTCTGCAAGAAATAGCCAAGATAAGAGAGCACCAAGGACCCCTCAGTCCTTCTTGTCCTCCTCTCCACAAACCCCACTCCCTCCGAGCACTGATGATGTAACCTAGTTGGGTCATGAAACATCTGCAAGAAAACCACCAAGTTCAGAGAGCACCAAGGGCCCCACAGTCTTCCTTCCCCTCTCCACAAACCCCACTCCCTCCCAGCACTGATGATGTTACCTAGTTGGGACATGAAACATCTGCAAGAAAACCACCCAGCTCAGAGAGCATCAAGGACCCCACAATCCTCTTCCTCCCCCTCCTCCCCTCTCCTCCCCCTCAGAACTAACACAGCATCCCTGTGGTCACGTGATCCTCTTTTACTAACCAGCATTCAACAAATAAAGTCAATGGGGGAAGCTAGATTTGCTTAACAACTGCCTGATTCGCTTAACGACCCCAGTGATTCCCTTAACAAGTATGGCAAGAAAGGTCCTTGCTTCACAACCTCTAGGATTAACTGGAAATTCTGGTCCCGGTTGTCATAAATCGAGGACTACCTGTCCTGGTTCGGTTGGGCTGGGTTTCCCCCCCTCCCCCCATTCTGGACAGGGACTGTTTTCAATCCTCCCCATCCGCCCTCCGTCTTCCTTTAGCGTTTTGGGCCGAGAGGACCCCGGTTCACGAAGCCGCCCGAAGCGGGGAGATCCATCAGCTCCAAGAACTGATTGGGAACGGCGCCTGCATCAACCTGGTCACCTATGACTCAGTTATGCCCCTGCAGGAAGCCAGCCTGCGTGGCCAGACGCGGTGTGTAGAGATCCTCCTGGCCGTGGGAGCCCAGGTGTGAGGCGAGGGCACCGGGTTGCAGAAGGAAAGAGTGCCAGCAAAGGTTTATTTTGCACCAGGTTCCTGGGGATTCAGGATGCAGATTTCAGATCCCCCCCCCCCCCGGATGGCCAGCTAGATGTGGATCCTATGATAGAAGCATAATCTCAATGCCTTCCTTTACATGGTGTATTTTATTCTTCTGTGATTTTATTTCTTTTTTTTTTTTAAATAAAAAGTTTTTATTTTCCATTTATTCATCATACAAAATACAATTTACAAAATAAAATAAATTCATGAACATTGGTACCGCCTGCCCATTCCCCCCAGGCTGCGTCCACCCTCTCTAAACCTTCCCTACTTCCCTCCTCTTTCTCTCCTCCCCTCCCCTTCTCCTCTTACCATCCTACTTCCTCCCTACACCTTCCTCCCCTCTCATCCCTCTCAGACACATGAATGCAGCATAGGGGAAATGCCCAAGCACACTACCATATCTATATTATCCTTACCCACCCACCCTCAACCCTCCCCCCCTCACCTCCCAAAGGTTTTTATTGTTAACTTTGTTAACCTCAACAAAGTTAACAATAAAAAGAAGAAAAGGAAAGGAAAGAGAAAAAAATATATATCATACTTAACCTTTAACTCCTAAATTACATCATAAGCAAATCTCTACAACATTTACTAAAAAATTTACTCATAAAATAAATGAAACTTTGTAGTCCCGTACTTTTTCTGAATATAATCTATCCATCTTCTAATCTCATTGCCTTCCTTTGCATGGCGTATTTTATTCTGTGATTTTATTTCTGTTTTGGTTTACACTCTTTTCATTTTTTCCTCTTTGTGGTTGTAAGCTGCCTAAAGTAGTCCCACAGTGAGATAGGCCACAAATAAATTGAGGATGAGGATGATGATGATGATGATGATAAGAAAGAAAGAAAGCTGGAAGGGAGCTTGGAGGTCATCTTGTCCAACCCCCTGCTCAGGCAGGAAACCTATACCATTTCAGACAAATGGCTGTCCAGTCTCTTCTTAAAGACCTTTACCAAGGGCGAATCCTTTTTAAAATGGCCGAATCCCAGGTAGATTAACCAAAAGAGGCACCAGGCTGAGGGTTCGATCCCTTTCTGCCACAGGTGGATGCCCGGAACATCAATGGGAGCTCTGCGACGCCTGCGCCTCAGGGAGCATTGACTGTAAAATTCCTTCTGTCCCACGGAGCCAAGGTCCCTTGTATATAAGATCGCCTCTCCAGGAAGCCTCCTTAAACGGTAAGGTGGCTTCTGCAGGGTTGACGGAGATCCTGGGGACAGCCCTGGGGGGGGGGGGGGCGTTTTTGCTCGCCCAGAATCCAAGCGAAGAGCTGTCGAGCATTCCGGAGTCCATTCGGATCGCAGTGCCCTGCCTTCCTGCGCCACCAGGTCTGGCCCATTGAGATGCAGGAGTTAGGGATCTGTGGATTTGTTTGTTTATGGTGGAAGACCGAATCACAAAAATTTAAAATACAGCACACTGTTAATACATACTAATGTGGCTACGTCTAGATCTCGCTGTCTGTCTCTCTGTCTCCCTTTCAGTCTGTCTATTCATCCATCCCTCCATCCACTCTATCCTTCCAGCCATTGTGTCTATCTGTCTTTGTTTATTTACCTACCTATCCCTACATACATACATATACATATATACATACATCTGTGTATTCATCCATTGTCTGTCTATGTCTCTCTGCCATCTATCAATCTACCTAGTCTATCTGCCTGAATGTCTGTCTATCACGTCTCTATCGCCTGTCTGTCATATTATCCATCTATCGATCTATCTATCTATCTATCTATCTATCTATCTATCTATCTATCTATCTATCTATCTATCTATCTATCTATCGATCTATTCTAAACAGCTAATCCTCCCTTAATGACTACCCTTGCCGCTTTAGAAGACGGTGTGTATTTGCCATCGAATGTCCTTTTTCTTTCCCCCAACCCTCCAGGAACTCCCCTGCGACTCTCAGCTTTGTCGTCTCAGCCTCCGTCAAGCTCTCGGCCGAACAGCGCTGGAAAAGATCCCCCACCTCCACATTCCTACGAAATTAGTTGAATTCCTCTCCTACAGCCAGTGAGCTGCCCGCGGCCCCCGTCTAAGGACCCCCCCAATCATCACCCTGCAAAGATTGAGTTGCGCTCTTCCGAAGCCACCCTCATTTTCAACAATGTGCGACTTTTTCCTCGAATGACTGTAAATAGAAATTTTAAAACCGTGGCTGGAAGCGGATTACCTGGTGGTCTCCTTGCTGGCTCGACGGTTCCTTTGAGTGTGTTGGTGAAAGGCTTGAGCACCCACTGGTGTGTGTGGTTGATCACCTCTACGTTGGAGAGATGGAGCGATAACTTAACGAAGCCTGATGGACTCTCCCCGTTTTGCGTCTTGGTCTAGATGTACTCCTCGGCTTACGACCGCCACTGAGCACAAAAGCTCTCGCTAAGCGAGACCATTAAGTGGATCTTGCCCCATTTTACGCCCGCCCTTGACACTGTTGTTAAATGAATCGCGGTGTTTAAGTTAGTGGCACCGTTGTTAAGGCGATCTAGCTTCCCCATTGATTTTCCTGGTCAGAAGGTCGCAAAAGGGGATCACTTGACCCCAGGCATCCTGCGACCGTTGTAAAGATGAATCAGTTGACAAGCATATGAATTTTGATCCTGTGACTATGGAGAGGCTACAATGGTCGCAAGTGTGAAAAGCGGCATTTTTCAGTGGCGTTTGTAACTTTGAATAGTTATTAGTCAAGGACTACCTGTATTAACACACGGGAGTTGTAATCCACCCATTTCAAAATATTCCCAAAATGGCTTTATTTGTAAAATGTATGCATTTGTGAAGTTTAATTATTTTCAAAATGTATGTTTGGGTAATATTTGTAAAATGGTCTAAGTCATAGATTTTGCAAATGAATCTTTCAATTTTGCCAATAAATAAATTTCACAAAGATCTACAAGTATCTTCCCAATGAATAAATCAATGTTGCCAATAAATAAAAATGCATTGTACAAAGGAATAAATATTACCAATAAATACATGCTCTACAGACAAATCAAAGCCCACCAGCACCCATTACGGGTCAGGCCATGTGTGAACCCCCTGAGAAAAGGCAGAAGCCTAAGAAAGCCAAAGGCAATTTTTTGGGTGCCTGGTTGGGATGCTCAGCGCCACCTGTGATGGTTTTCAGAGTTTGGGGTGACCAGGGTGGGGCATCAGGAAGCAACCCCTCCCTCAAGCCAATTGTGATGCCATGAATTCCAGCACCAAATTGTAACGTCCCGCGTGTAAAGAAAGGATCGTGGGGACGGAACCCTCGCATCGAAGGTTGCAAAGGAGGGGAAAACATCTGCAATCAGAGCTACCAACCAGGCAGCCAGGTCGGAAAACTACAACTCCCGGCAGTCCTCGCGAAAAGCGTCTGCGGTGTCCCGGGTGTCCTGACTGCCTGGCCTGCTGGGTTGTGTAGTCCGTGTTTACGGAGTCATGGAGCCGGTGGCTCTGCTGGGAGAGATCGGTGAGTGGGCGGCTTGCGAGGCAGGGAGGTCCCCGGTCGACTTGGCAGGATCCGCGCCCGGGACTCTGTGGTGGGAAGAGGGAAACGGAGGGTCTTTGCCAAGGTAAGAGACCCCCCTGGAAATCTTGCCCCAAGCTCCCGGCAATGAGGGGGAGACTAAGTCAGCGGCAGGCAAGCTGGGCTCTTTTATGACTGCTGGACTTCAACTCCCAGAATTCCTCAGCCAGTCTGGCTCAGCTTGGAAACCTCTCCCTTTCCCCTCAGCACGGCTGGCTCAGGAATTCTGGGAGTTGAAGTCCGCCAATCATAAAAGCTTTAAATCAATCAACCGTTGCCACGCCCCTCTTCCTCCGTCTAGGACTCCGCACTTGCGGCTTAGTCTTAGCCCGGGAGAGACGTGGTGAAGATGGGCTCTGGTTTCTAACAGAACGACAAAACTCTGGATTTCCCCAGGTTGTACCCTTCCCTTCTCTTCCCTTCTCTGCTTCAGCGCTGCTTTCTCAAACCGCCGAGGGTCGGAGCGGTTTTGCAGGCCTCGGCTGAAGCCTCTCGAGCTATTTATAGCTCCCAGGCAGAGGCAGAAGCGCAGCGGTCGCCATTTTGAGCGCCGCTTTGCTTGTTCCTGAGGGGAGTGGGGGAACCTTCCCTTCCTTCCAGCGAGGGCCCTTTAGACTCAACTAGAGTCAATTTTGGCCAGAATTGAGTCTGCAGTCTTCTTAGTCAGCAGATAGAAGCAGCTGCCGCATTCATTAACTCGGACGTAACGACGGAGCAGGAGGCCGCTTGCTGGCGGGCGCCATTTTGAGAGGCCGACAAACGCCCTCAGGCCATTCCAGAAAGCCAGAGTTCAGGAGCGGTTTTTGGAAGGTGCTGCTTCTCCCATCATTGGCAGCTCGTCGCACACCAAGGCTGATAGAATTATAGGCAACAATAGCCTCTTTCAGGACGCAATTTCCAAAGACTTCAGTTGGTGGCTGAGTGCGTGCTTTAACTGCCGCCATTTTCAGCGCCTCTTCCTACCACCGATTTCGCTGCTTATAAGTGTGCTGGCTACCCTCATTAACTTGGTGTTACTGCCACTACCAGGCTTGGAGTGTGCTGGTTGCCCCATTAAGTTGGTTGGGCCGCCACCATTTCTAGCCACCTCTTGGCTACTGGGATCAGCTCTCTGTTGCAAACACGTTGAGATTGCCTTTTCTGTGATATCTCTTGATTTTTCGCAATGGCAGGTAAAACCACAGCAACTCAGGGCTCTCAAGGTGCCTCCAGCTTTCCCTCCAGGCCGAGGAACGCCAGATCAGCCAAGCAGGAGGCTGCTGGGAAACTCAGAGCCAGAGCTATCGCTGGCAGAAGGTCTCCCAAAGCTGCTGGGAAAGAAGCAAGCGGGAGGCAACAGGCATTGGGAAAACAATTCTCCAATGCTCCAGGGCAACAGAACGGGGTAAAGGTTGATGAGATGATTTCTGTTCCCATGGAAGTGTCGGTTTTTGACCCTCAGCAAGCTCCTTCGACCTCTGCTGCTCCAAGTGCCGGTTCTCCAGAAGGGGAAACAGGTCAGTCCATTTCTCCCATGGCAGAACAGGTGGAGATGGTTGACCCTCAACAAGCTCCTTCGACCTCTGCTGCTCCAAGTGCCTCCTCTGCAGAAGGGGAAGCAGGTCAGTCTATTTCTCCCATGGCAGAACAGGTGGAAATGGTTCCCCCTTCCAGTGAGGGGCTTGGCCTTCCGATCCCTGCTCCTCCTGGTACAGCTGGACCTCTGCGCCCAGAGGCCACACTCACTCCTACAGCATCAGGGCTTCGTGCTCCAGGGGCTCAGGAGATAGCACTAACACAACAAATGCAGCTTTTCATTTCTCAGGCTGTTGCCCAAGCTGTAGCTGCGAACCTGCACCAGAGAGCTCGACCTGAGTCGACAGTATCAGAGGTCCCATCTCACAGCAATGCATCGTACCTCTCCCAGGCGGAAGCAGACACGTACCAGGGACCAGTTTCCCCATTCAATTCCTCCATGAGTAGAACGTCGTTCACAGGGGACGACGAACAGAGAGAGCTGGGGCTGTCAGAAGATGAGGACTTACCTCCTGATCCTCCTGCTTTCACAGGCCTGTTTAATCCGGCCCTCTTTAAATCCTTGCTTCACAAGGCCAGGAGCACTGCTCAACTTGGTCCTGAAGGTGTCCCCGAGGCTGAACCTTCCACCAGTCAGGGACCTACCAGTAAGGTCGGTTCACAGCCAACGTTTACCCAACAGGACATTCCCTGTCCTCCCCTTTTCCTCAGTGAAGTCCAAAAACAATGGGAAACGCCAGGTACTGTGCCACTTCTGGGGAGGAATGTTACAAATTTATTTAATGTGGCTCCAGCACTGTCAGAGGTGCTAGCAATCCCCACGGTAGATGAGCCCTTAGCAACAACATTTTTTCCCAAGTTCATTGTGTCTGGGGATATAGCGGAGCTTCTGTTTCCAGAGGATAAGAGAGCGGAACTTAATTTCCGCAAGACCCACCAATCCACAGCATGGGCGGTAAAGGCAGGTATATCAACTTCCTTTTTCGCCAGAATTTCAGTCCTCTGGCTTCGCCAATTACAGGCTAAGGTACCACCAGAAGAGGTACGGATGCACCAAGATTTAAACAAATTAGTGGCAGCATCAGAATACATGGCTGACTCATCCTTGCAGGCGGCCAGATTTTCCTCCCGTGCATTAGCATCTAATGTTATCTCTCGCAGACTACTGTGGCTCAGACGGTGGAAAGCGGATGTTAAGTCCAAGTGGCGGTTGGCCTCAGCCCCTTACAGGGGAGGCCAGTTATTTGGAGAGGCACTAAACCCTTATCTGAATGAACAGGGTAAGTGTAAGTTCCTGGCCAAACCTAGGAGAGCAGATACGAAAGCTGCCCCTTATGCCCGCAAGCAGTTCTTTCGTCCAACCAACACAGGGTCGGAATTCTCCCATTACTCCCGTCCTCATCCTCCCAGCTCAAGCGACACAGGGTCGGAATTCACCCATTATTCCCCTCCTCATTCTCCCAGACCAGACCCTCAATTTGACAGATCTGGTTACAGGGGCAGATCCAGAGAGCAATTTCAGTCCAAACGGCCCTTTCGAGGCGCCAGAGGCCGTCCTTTCCGAAGGTCCTAGTGACACCAGAGGTGCCTCTCCCATAGGGAGCAGATTGGCTCTCTTTGCACACAAATGGGAGAACACCACTACAGATCTTTGGGTCCTCCACATCATCAGATTCAGCCTGACTCTAGAGTTCAACTCCATCCCTCGAGGCATTTCGTCTCTTGCCCATCATCCAAAAATCCGGTCAAAAGAAGCCTCATGAAAGAGGCCGTTCGACATCTGGAAATCCAGGCCCTAGAACTGGTACCGGCAGGGCAGAAGAGGCAGGGTTTTTATTCCATTCTGTCCATCGTTCGGAAGGCCTCGGGAGGGTGGAGGGCAATCCTGGATTTAAAGAAATTAAATATTCATTTGACACAGAAAAAGTTCAAGATGCAAACGCTCCAATTCATATTAGCAGGCATCAGAACTGGGGACTTTCTGATGTCCATCGACCTGAAGAATGCTGACCTACACATTCCCATCTTTCCCTGACTCTGGAAATTCCTCAGGTTCTGCTACGCAGGCCACCATTTTTAGTACAGAGCTCTACCATTCGGCCTGTCATCGGCCCCCCGAAAAGCCGGATAGTTTCCTCCACCCGCCACTTTTCTTAGGAACGTCGGGACAGTATCCGATCTCTCCTCCGTGGAGGCTACCCCGATGGAATCTCCCTCAGCCAGGGGGTTTTACAACACCGCCGAACATTTGAAAGGAGACTCCTAACAAAAGAGAGCTATTCATCAGACGTGATTACCATGATTCAGGCTTCAAGAAGGCCTGCAACCAATAGAATCTATGATTCCACATGGAAGAATTTCTGTAACTGGTGTGGGAGACAACAATTAGATGCAGCTACAATAATTTTGGATTATTTAAGAGGGGTTTAGCAGCCAACACAATCCGCAGACAAGTTGCTGCCCTGTCCACGGTGCTCACATATGGCAACTCAGTGCCCTTGGCTCAACAACCCATGATACGTTCCTTTGTCAGGGGAGCAATCAACAGGAAATCACCTGTGGTTCACAGATACCCCTCTTGAGACCTGTCCAAGATCTTACAGGCTCTCACTTCACCTCCATTTGAGCTCGTCAGAACCTCCACTCTACAATTCTGGACACTCAAGGCTGCTTTCCTAGTAGCCGCTACATCGTCTCTAGGCGTATCTCGGAATTTGCATCAGTCTCAATTAGAAATGACTTAGTATTTTTCATACTGACAGGGTGGTCCTAGGCTTAGATCTCTCCTTCATCCCCAAAATCAACTCATCATTTCACAGGGCGCAGGAGCTTGTGCTGCTAGATTATTGTCCTGAGCCGTCCCACGA